GCATGTCAATGTGCAACACAGAAAAAAAACTGTAAGAAAGACAGAAGCATTAGATTACTCATGATTGGAATTCCTATAGTCTAGTGATCTTTAACTAAACACTCTGTACAGCATCACTGACAGAAAAAACTCAGGAATTATTTGTGAGATTGTCTAAGTTATTCTATTATTAATTCTACTAAGTGTTTTATTACATTTAGATATTCTAATTTCACAGGAAACCTGACAGTAGATAATTATCTATATATGTTATTACATGTATAGTCTACAGTCTATATAAACCAACCAGACAGGTAAAATCTCGTTAACTCAGGTAGATATTAATGGTTTTATATATCTAACATCTGGTATATATCCTGCACTAATAGATTAGTTAGAGTGAACCAGGTAAATTCAAGTCTGTTGCAAATATTAGTATCTTATATTCAAAATAAGATGATCTTTTTACAAAAATTTCAAGTCTGAAATCTGTATTTTATAATCTGTTATAATAAACTTTCATTATCAACTTTGAAATTTAATTTAATTTTTATTCCAAAACACAACGTATTTTTAAGATATTTTTAGGTATTACATCAATGGAGAATTTTCTTAACAATCTAACTTCGTTAAACCTCGTTCCATTTCTCTAAAAAATCTTATTTTGTTACTTCAGGGTAAGTTCTTCTAGATAAATAACTTATGGTAAGTTTGAGTGAGTAAATTTTTAAAATGAAATGAATGGAGTTTTACATCCTACTTTTCTGCACCGTGTGGGCTAATAAAGACGGGCAACGCCATGCAGGGTACAATGAGGGGAATTTTGCCAGGACAGCGTCATCAAGGAACAAGGGTGGGGCTCCAGAAGTTTTGAATTTCAATCAAAAGTTAAACAAATATTAGAAACATCCTCCTAAATAATATAAAATTTCAGTATCTGGCATTATAGCTAAAAAAACACTCTAAACTATGGTTGAACAGATTTCACCAGGTAAACTCTCTCGTTAATTTTACCTGTATTACCAGGTGTTAAATCTAACATAAATACATGAGTCATTATACAAAATAACAGAATCTTTATGTTTCCTGTGATTCCACCCTACACTCAAATTATAAACATTCTGTAATAAAGAGATTGTAAGGAGATTTTTTAAAAATTTTAAGTGTATAGCGGATACTGGTAGCATCAATTTGCACCATTCCAAATTTTAGTCAGATTTCTGAGGTTCTTTCAATTCTGCTAAAAGATACCATATAATGACGGCACTATAGCAAAGGTCCTTATATATTAATAGCAGCTTTTGTGACAGTGAAGCATAAAACACTGACAAAACAAATTTAGAAAAGTTGCTTTACCACTCTTGTCTGATTAAAAAACAAATTAGAAAAAAGGTTACTAAGGACCAAAGATTACCAAATGTAATCAAAAACTTAAAACCAAAACAAATTTTTCTTTTTCCACACAAGAGATCAAAATATCAAGAAATATCTCAGTCAGGTACATTTCTGTTAAATTTTACTTAAAATGAAAATAATAAAGACATACCAAATATCAAAATCCAATTTATTAGAGGATCAACCCTAATTTTGATATTGAAATTAAAATCATTTCCACCCACGACAAAATAAAGACAAGTAACACATTTAAGTCAAGATGGGAGATGTCCTTCTACTTAAGATAATAAAAACAGGACAGAGGGTTGACGTTGGAAATGAGCCATTCAGGAAATCTTTGAGTAATGAAACAATAAGGATGTTATATAGACTGAGATATACAGTGACCAACATAACTACTAGACACCTACATTACACAGAGTAGTCTGTAGAAATATTACTTACAGATATATTCAGCTCCAGCCATCTTATTTACAAATCTTATAGCTGAAATTGAGCTCTATCAGCTGGTAAAGTAAACATTTAGATGACTATACAGATAGCTGAAATTGAGCTCTATCAGCTGGTAAAGTAAATATTTAGAAGACTATACAGATAGCTGACATTGAGTTCTATCAGCTTGTAAAGTTAATATTTAGATAACTATACAGATAGCTGAAATTGAGCTCTATCAGCTGGTAAAGTAAATATTTAGAAGACTATATAGATAGCTGAATTGAGTTCTATCAGCTGGTAAAGTAAATATTTAGATGACTATACAGATAGCTGAAATTGAGCTCTATCAGCTGGTAAAGTAAATATTTAGACACTAATACAGATCGCTGAAATTGAGCTCTATCAGCTGGTAAAGTAAATATAAGATGACCATACAGATAGCTGAAATTGAGCTCTATCAGCTGGTTAAGTAAATATTTAGATGACTATACAGATAGCTGAAATTGAGCTCTATCAACTGGTAAAGTAAATATGTAGATGACTATACAGATCGCTGAAATTGAGCTCTATCAACTGGTAAAGTAAATATTTAGTTGACTATATAGATAGCTGAAATTGAGCTCTATCAACTGGTAAAGTAAATATTTAGATTACTATATAGATAGCTGAAATTGAGATCTATCAACTGGTAAAGTAAATATTTAGATGACTATACAGATAGCTGAAATTGAGCTCTATCAGCTGGTAAAGTAAATATTTAGAAGACTATACAGATAGCTGACATTGAGCTCTATCAGCTGGTAAAGTAAACATTTAGATGACTATACAGATAGCTGAAATTGAGCTCTATCAGCTGGTAAAGTAAATATTTAGAAGACTATACAGATAGCTGAAATTGAGCTCTATCAGCTGGTAAAGTAAATATTTAGATGACTATATAGATAGCTGAAATTGAGCTCTATCAGCTGGTAAAGTAAATATTTAGATGACTATACAGATCGCTGAAATTGAGCTCTATCAACTGGTAAAGTAAATATTTAGATGACTATATAGATAGCTGAAATTGAGCTCTATCAACTGGTAAAGTAAATATTTAGATGACTATAAAGATAGCTGAAATTGAGTTCTATCAGCTGGTAAAGTAAATATTTAGATAACTATACAGATAGCTGATATTGAGTTCTATCAACTGGTAAAGTAAATATTTAGATGACTATATAAATAGCTGAAATTGAGCTCTATCAACTGGTAAAGTAAATATTGAGATGACTATACAGATAGCTGAAATTGAGTTCTATCAACTGGTAAAGTAAATATTTAGAAGACCATACAGATAGCTGAAATTGAGCTCTATCAGCTGGTAAAGTAAATATTTAGAAGACTATAAAGATAGCTGAAATTGAGCTCTATCAGTTGGTAAAGTAAATATTTAGATGACTATACAGATAGCTGAAATTGAGCTCTATCAGCTGGTAAAGCAAATATTTGATTTAAGCATTATGGACACAAATTGAAAGGTTTGTATCAAAAACACCATACATAAATGACAAACCTGTGAAAGCTTGGATAATCCAAACGAATTTAAAACAAAAGTCATGAGGACGAAATAACAGTCACGAAAACTTGAGAAAATAAATGAAATGTTAAAGTTAAGAGTAAAATGATGAAAGTAAAGAAGAGAGAAATTGTGAGTCTTAAAAATACATTAACTGTAGATTCTGCATATTTACACTACAACAAAAACTTTACATCAGTTAGCTTAAAGAGGCAAGCTAAGGTGTCAATTTCCACCCATTTATCAAAATTCTAAGAGTTGTAGCCATGAATCACTGATTAATGAGAAACTTGGTGTAAAGAGACAAACTCGGGCGTCAATTTTCTACAATGTGTCATCATTTTATACAGATTTAAAGATTTCTAGTTTAGAACAGACCAAAAACTCCAGCAGGAAATGCTTTTTAGAGGCGAGCTAAGGTGTTAATTTTCATCCAATTATCAGGTTTTGAAAACATTCAAAGATGGTTGGCTGGTTGGTAGATGACAAGTAAACGTTCGCTTCCAGCAGATGCTGATACCGCAAACTAAGTAGTTGTTGGTAGATGACAAGTTAACGTTCTCTTCCAGTGGATGCTGATATCGCAGACTAGGTAGTTGTTGGTAGATGACAAGTTAACGTTCACTTCCAGCTAACTGATATAACAGACTAGGTAGTTGTTGGTAGATGACAAGTTAACGTCTGCTTCCAGCTAACTGATATAACAGACTAGGTAGTTGTTGGTAGATGACAAGTTAACGTCTGCTTCCAGCTAACTGATATCACAGACTAGGTAGTTGTTGGTAGATGACAAGTTAACGTCTGCTTCCAGCTAACTGATATAACAGACTAGGTAGTTGTTGGTAGATGACAAGTTAACGTCTGCTTCCAGCTAACTGATATCACAGACTAGGTAGTTGTTGGTAGATGACAAGTTAACGTTCACTTCCAGCTAACTGATATCGCAGACTAGGTAGTTGTTGGTAGATGACAAGTAAACGTTCGCTTCCAGCAGATGCTGATATCACAGACTAGGTAGTTGTTGGTAGATGACAAGTTAACGTTCTCTTCCAGTGGATGCTGATATCGCAGACTAGGTAGTTGTTGGTAGTCAAATTCAAAGAGCAATGAATTTGGCATTTTCTGATAATTTTCAAAACTTTTAAAAAGTGGCTTAAAGAGGACTATTTATCAAAATTCTAAGAGTTGTAGCCATGAATCTGAATGATGAAAAACTTGGTTTAAAGAGGCAAGCTAAGGTGTTAATTACAACTATCTATCATCAATTGAAAGGTACTGGACGTCAGGTTTGAATGGAATATTTAACTAAAACATTGGCTCCTTAGTTACTAATACTATTTGATACTTTGTATAACAGTAAACTAAAGTTTTGGATACTTCAAGTCAGTCATGACAATATCAATTATTTTCCAAGAAAACAGAAACTAAGAATGCAGAATCAAAGATCAATGCCTCAACCAATCAATCATGTTCTCTTTTCTGTGAACATCTTTGACTTTAACTGTTTATTATTTATTGTTAAATGTAGTAGAGATAGATGATAAGATAGTATGCTACTTTAAATCTATAATTATGCACATATTTTTCAGTAATTAGAAAATAATCAGGTAATCAGATTTTCTGGTCTAATTAGATTCTAGTGTTCTTCTTTACAACTTAAACAATTCATTTTGAAACAAGATCCACAAAACTAAAAAGATAAAATTTGTGATCATGGCCTAAAAATCAGTTTTATATCCTTTGCAAAATAATTTCAATAAATCTTCAGACAATAATCTAGCCTACCTTAGAAAGTATTATAATCTATTAAACACTGTACTAGATTGTTTACAAATAATGGTTCATCAAAAATTAACGGAAATCCAAATAAATTGCACCAGCTTACCTCAGTTAAGTCCCAAGTAGTAAATTATTCTGAACCTGTGTTAGCATTATTTATTATTTACCAGTAAAAGTTAATTAAAAATTAACGAAGGAGTGATGGTGAATATATTAATTAGACATTACTTAATTACAAACTGCAGGTGTTAGAAAGTGAGAAAGGAGTAAAATTTGCATAAAGATCATTTACCTTGATAGTAAGAAACTAAAATAAAGCTTAGCAACTGTGAGACAAGAGACAAGTTCTAAATGAATCATGTGAAGTGAAACAGACTGCAAGGAACAACAACTCTGTATGACAGATTGGCCTTGATCATGAAGTAGGTAAGTAGCAAAATATAAGCCTGTATAGAAATATACATGTAGATTTTCCATCACTAGCTATAGACTGCCATAGTAAATGGATGTTGTTTATCCCAAGACAGAAGTAGGGAATGAGCCTGTTGCATGTATAGTTTAGATCTAACTTATTGGCAAGACAGACAGAACTGACTGACAAAACTAAAATTATTCATCATGATGTCTATACGAGCTATTAAATCTTAAAACCCTAGTTCCCTGGTGTGTTTTCACCCCCTGGGGGTGTGGGACTAGTGTGTCAGGGGTGTGGCCAACTGGTGTAGGAGAAGAATTTATTTTGAATTGAGAGAGAACCTCACATCATCACATGCTGGAGTGTGGATGAAACAAATTTTTGGGGGTGTGAAAGGGCCAGGTGATTGCTCCAGGGGTGTGAAGGCTAAGAAAGGTTGGAACCACTGGTTTAAGACAAGTCAATCTGAAAGCATTTTTTATAAATCCACCAGAAAAAACCTTGAAGAACCCTAGATTTACAAAGCAATGAAAAGATGGAATGTGAAATTTTTCAGAATTTTTGTCCAAGATTAAGAATATTTTCTTGACCTAGTGCCAAATTTGAAACTTGAAAGAAATAATTCCCATCATAATTTCATTCACAGAACAGCTGAAGACAACAGGTAGATACCAACATTGTTTATAGTTCCAGGAACTAGGTCAAGTCTGGAGAGTAAGTAGGTCAACTGATAAATAAACACAATAATGACCAGAAATAACCAACTTATTTCTAATAATAACAAAACTTTTATAGACACAATATATTCATTGATAACTTACAGATCAGAAGTGGAAAGAAATGAAATGGAGTTTTATGTCCTACTTTTCAGCACTTATTGGGCTAATGAAGAAGGGCAATGCCATGCAGTGTGCAATAAGGGAAATTTTGCTAGAATAGCAGTCTTAGTCTACTGACTTTTTTTTCTTCGAGGGATCTTTCATGAGTACAAGCCGGAGCACACAAGACTTCGATTTAATCAATTATGGTATGATGGATGAAGAAAATGATAAAGATAACAATACGAAAGATTAGGATTAAAGTTAGAATAAAACATGGTCTTACCTGACTGAGTCCAATTCTATAATTAAGTTTATCAATATCTAGATGATCCATTAACATCATTACACTCTGTAATACAATATATAATCCACAGTTATTTCATGTCCCTACCTACGTTCACCTGTCTGTTTTCATTAAACAGTTTTCATAACACATTTAAATAAGGTTAAAATATTCAATATATAGAAGATATCAAATGAAGTTTCAGACTATTTTATTAAAATTTATTTTCAACTTATGAGGGATCTTTAACGTGCACAGACTGTAGCACACTGGGCCTCAGTTTATTGTCTCATCTGAACAACTAGACGCTTTTTCCATGTCAGCCCCTTTGATCTGCATCAGTGACATGGGGAAACTGAGTTAAAAAAAATCCGAAGGTATTATTTCAACCTATACCACACTGAACCCTGGAACTTAACAAACAAGCGCCTAACTCACTGAGATTCCTTCTCAGAGGACAAGGCTGGTAAAACTGACTTTCTGGTGAAATCAATAAAATCTGACCGATTCCAATCTATAAATAACTCACCTTCTGTTCATCTGTTGTCTTACCAGGACGTTTATCAGGCTGCAGTAAAACTTCAAATTTCTGTCGAAATTCAGAAAACTGCATATGATCTGGGAATCCTGAATATAAAATGGAAAAATACTTTTCAACTGTCGAGGAATCTTAAGCGTACAAACTCTTTCACAAACTGAGCCTTGATTTATTGTCCCATCAAGTGATAAGTGGCTTTCTCCATTATAGCCACTCTGGCCTTCATCACAGTCAAACAGAAACTGAACTCATATGCAAATTAACCCATTTTCAGACAAATTGCCATGATGATGGACAGTATATCAAAAACATATCAATAGTACCAGATGAACTGAATGAACCTACCTTGTCTGAAGACTCTGACAGCATCCAATAATTCAAAACCACGTAATTGAGATCGAACAAGAGGTACGTTCATTATCTGTTCATCTTTATCACCGTTCTGACGTAATTCACACAGCCCTGCGTTATTCTGAGCTATCATACAATGTAGGAAATGACATTTAGTTTTACGAATTGTTTCTATAATAGAATCCTGAAAAGAAAGGAAGTAAATATTTCATAAGCTACAACAAAACAGGCCAAATTGGTTCTTAAATCTAACGCTTTAAGCTGACTGATTTTGCTATGACGTTCTCTGTTGAAAGTTCAAATAACCTTTTCCCAAGTATATAAACCTAAGGCGGAAAAGTCTCTTTGAGGTTGTAATAACCTCCCAACTTTAGGCAGGTTCTTTATTCTGAGGTTTAAGTCTTACATTTGAGGGACAGGTTTTACTTTAGATATTAGTCAAAACCCATAATAATTCAGTATATACACAGCCAAGTTAAAAATATGCATAATAAAAACTTTTGTTCAAAAAATGTACAGACTTACCACTTGGAATTTGATCTGTAGACAGATGGATTTTTTCTTCAGACCAGCAGTTCCAGACATAAATGTTCGTCTCATACTGCCAACACGACGTAATGAGGCCGACCCGTCCATACCAGCTACTGACCCACTGACCACACCCCCACTTCCTTTTATAGTCGTAAATAACTGACTGATATTATACCTACAAATATACAATATGTACGGACATTGTGAAACGTTCACTATCAATTTAGAGCATGCTGATACAATACGGGGCGTGAGAGCCCTGGGGTTTGAACGAGGGGCCATGACCCTGCCCCAAGATACGAGGCTGGCTTAGGCTTTAGGGAAAGAATTGTCAGTGAGCCCTCTTGTCAATTCTGTTATCCCACTTCGCCCTCTTATTTAATGATTCATTGAACCGCCACAAGTCAATGTGAACATCACAATAGTTAAAAATATAAAAATCTTACTTTTTGGAGTCTTGTAATAAAACGAGTGAATTTCTGGAAACAGGGTTTTCACGACATGATTTTAACCAGCCGGTCGTATCGTACTGTATTGGGCACGTTCCTTGATAATGATTTAATATAAACATAGGACCTTGGGAACCTTTTCGTAATAAACTTTCTCCTGAAATAAAATTAGATGGAGTTTTACATCTTTCTTTTCTGTTCTCATCTGTTTAACACCAATCAGTTTGCAATGAGGGAAATTTTGCCTTCACAACGGCATAAGCCTACTCTCTTTTGATTTCCAAATGTCGAGAGATCTTTAACATGTACAGACTAAAGCATACATATAGTCCCATCCAATTGACTAAACCCTTTCTCTAATGTCGCTGATTTGAGAAAATTGACTTCAAAATTAATGAGGAAATAATTATCTTTTTAAAAATAAATTACAGGAAAACATGACATTAGGTTTTTATTCAGAAATGGTTTATGTATAGAGCTGAAACTAACAAACTCTATAATAAAATGGTAAAGCAAATACTTAGACAACCAAATCTCTTTAATGATTAAAAAAAACTCACGTCTGACTGGATGTTCTCCGTGATGTGAGAAAAATCTCTCCATAAAACTGTCTTCTGTAGCACCAGGAAATATAGCTTCTTCATCTAGTATCCATAGCAACCCTTTCTTCTCAGCATCACGTAGGTCTTGATTAGATGATCGAAGCTAAAATATATATAATATGACTGTACATCAAGATGTCAAAATTTAAAATAATTTTTTGCATTTCAATTTTGGAATTTGAAATCTGAACCCTGAGATGTTGCTGATGAATTATTCCTACTATCTAACCTTAACTCCATATCTTGTGTATAATTTTATCTAGACCAAATGAACTAAGTCCAAGATTTATCAGATTTATAAACTGTCTTTCACATGAGATATAAATAACAAATAACTCAAACATTCATTTATAAAATAAAACATACCAATGATTGTTGTGGTGATTTATCAAACAGTGAAACCATGGCAGCAGGACTGGTTGTTACAAAATCAAAATCACAATCGATATTCTCCTATAAATCATAAAACATTCAATACAAAAACAATATATTAACAAAAAATAGGAAATTACTATATTTATTAGAATCTTCAGAATATCCAACCATACCTGATATTATTTTTAACTTAATAATCTGAATGATTGACAGACAAGAGTATATATTAAAGATCTTGTTATTGTAATCAGGAAATAAACGCCGGGGCCTTCTGTAGCTTTCCAAATGAAAAAGGTTTTTTTTTTGTATTTTTTTTACCAAAACGAAAACAAGAATCAAGTTCTTCCTGAATTATTGAGTTTCTCATTATTCCAAAACAAGAAGACTAACGTTAGCCTCTGACGCCCAGAATTCTCCTGTCTATGTCATTACACAACTTTGAGCAAAAGGGGCTGGATGTTAGAGGCTAGACTGACCTGAGCATAGCGATCTTGTTGTAGTGTAAACGTTAAATCATGGAAGAACAGCTGTAATCTTTCCTGAGTATAATTCTGACATAGATCTTCAAAACTGGCACCAGACCGCCCACACGAGGCAGGATTCTGGAAGCCAGGCGAATCTAACAATATGATGGAATTGGCAGCACGGATGTTAGAAGATAAGGACCTGGAATAGAATGGATGGTGAATTCAATTCAGTCTTTACAGAACCAATTGAGGTGCCAAAAATCAATTTTTCAGAATTTCAGAACCAATTGAGGTGCCAAAAATCAATTTTTCAGAATTTCAAAACCAATTGAGGTGCCAAAAATCAATTTTTCAGAATTGACCAATCACTGACAACTCGAAGGATAGGCATAAAATTTCAAAAAGAAAGATCATGCTCTATGACAATACTTTAGAAGGGAGGTAACTTAAATTAACTTACCTATTAATGATAGAAACCACTGCGTTAAATACGTCAGAATAAAGGCCAATCACAAAGCCCTCTAGAGTTTCGATGGCAGGGGAGACAACTTCACCATTTACCATCGGACTACCTCGATCTACACCGTTAGATAATCTAAAATAAAAATAGGAATTTATGATTTATTTAAGAAAACATGTGTCGATATTTAATCAATTATTCTCAAAATAATGACGTCTCTTTGCTGTGATAGGTCAGCATGAATTTTGTACAAAAAACCTCAGGGGTCTGCAAATCACATTTACACCATATCAATCCAGAGAGCAGTGTGTGGCACAAAGACAGTTGTCAGTAGCCTGATGTTTCTGACTAACAATCACAAATCAAATTCAAATGGTATACCTCATAGATGTACTTCTGGAGAGAGTCGAGTTGCTAGGTGGGTTGAAGATAGATCTAGCTAGGTCTTCTGCTGTAGTTCCTAGTAACGAAGCTGCTTTCTGGGCTGCTGCCGGGCGGGTAAACTGAGCCTTATTATTATTACCTGAAAATATTTCAAAATCATTAAAACAGAACCTTTGTTGTTACTGTTTCATGCTGTGCAATCTTCAGACACCTGGCCACGTATTCTCAAAACGAGCTTAGCGCTAGGATGTCCTAGGTTCTTATCTTCTAACATTGATTCTAGGATATCCTAGGTTCTTATATTCTAACATTGATTCTAGGATATCCTAGGTTCTTATCTTCTAACATTGATTCTAGGATGTCCTAGGTTCTTATCTTCTAACATTGTTTCTAGGATATCCTAGGTTCTTATCTTCTAACATTGATTCTAGGATGTCCTAGGTTCTTATCTTCTAACATTGTTTCTAGGATATCCTAGGTTCTTATCTTCTAACATTGATTCTAGGATGTCCTAGGTTCTTATCTTCTAACATTGATTCTAGGATATCCTAGGTTCTTATCTTCTAACATTGATTCTAGGATATCCTAGGTTCTTATCTTCTAACATTGATTCTAGGACATCCTAGGTTCTTATCTTCTAACATTGATTCTAGGATATCCTAGGTTCTTATCTTCTAACATTGATTCTAGGATATCCTAGGTTCTTATCTTCTAACATTGATTCTAGGAAATCCTAGCGCTAAGATCGTTTCAAGAATACATGCCCCGACCTATTCAGTCTGTGTTCCTACTTCTAGTTTAAAAGTCTATATTTTGATGCAAGTTCAGATTGCTTGTTAGAAGTGTTTTTTTGTAGCATCAATAATTTCAAACAAACAAATTGAAATTGTATTTCATCTTCACATGTCATTCTTGATTATCCTTTCATTACTTTAATCTAAAATAGGGAATCTATACCCCTCTTCCATCCCCCCCTCCTCCTTTTTGTCCCCTAATTCAAAACCAGCTGTCATATGTATCTGTAAGTAATATGTCTATAATTACCTTTACTAGCCCCAGCCACACCGAGATGATAAATAGCAGCTAGAACACTGAATAACGCCTTGATTTCATCTTCCTTCCCACCAACTACAGTTAACGCATTTAACACCTTCGCCCAGTTAGTCGTGGCTTTCTGTCTGTCTTCATTCTAATAATAGAAATAAAACAAGGATGTTAGGGCATTAAAAATCATAACACAGGCAAATCTGCGTATGCTGAATTGTGCCTATATCACTTGGTTAGTGGTCACTATGTTGTATAAATGTCTCTTTAAACGCACTCTTTATGTAATAATTTCAATTGAGGCTATTTCATACAAAAAAATCTAAAAATATCTTAATGGCATTTAAGACCAGAGTGCGTCTATATTTCATATACTTAAACTTTCAAACGTCTTTTTAACATCTTATAGCATTTAATTGTTTGTTAGTTAATTTACTCATTTCCAAATCAATTTTTAATTTGTTCTAACCTTTTGTAATGGAGTCATAAATAGGTTAGGTTCTGTTAAAACTTGAAGTTGAAGTTCATTTCTAAGTTGTGAATCTAACCCAGCTAACATCTCATAGAAAATATTAAACGTTGGTTCTCCTTCTGGTCTACGTACAACTCTCGTTTTCTCCAACATTAATACCTAGAAAACACATATAATAAATAATTTATTAATTATATAGAAACCAGTCGATCAGGAAAATGATTCTATGCATATTATTAGTCAGGTTTTATGCCTATCATTTACTTTGTAAGAGTATGGACAAGCCAAATTTCTCAACAATTTGAAGCTTGTACTATTTCAGCCTCTCTGACCTGTATCACTGACAAGGGGGAAAAAGGCTAAAATCAAGGTTTTTTCTCGATCAAAGTCAGGATTCAACATTGGAATTTTCAGGATAGTGAGGGGTGTGGCTTCCTATTGATGAACAGAGAGAGAGGATTGACAAAACATGCCCTTGTTGTTCATCAGCCAATTAAAAATTGTCTCTTACCTGAAGTGATGCTGATGCTATTTGTCCAGAATGATCGAAATCAATCGTGAACAGACGGGTAAATCTACTGGCACTGGTGTTTAATAATGTTCGACAGTTTCCAAACGCTTCCGTCAAAACTGATATAGCGTTTATCTTATCACCTGTAAAATAATTCCTTATGGTTTTAACGCAAAATAAAGACTTTATTATTATTAATATTTTCACACGGACAACATAAAATGTAAAGGTGGGATAAAAATTAGTTTGTAAGGAGAACCTATTATCTTCATAAAAAAAATGTTCCTGACCCACTTTCTCTTAGCTTCAAAATTTAGTTTTTCATCTTAAAATGTGTTAACGATTTCAATTCAAGTTGAACCTCTAACTTCTGCATTTAACTAAGATCCTTGGTTGATAAGGATATCAAGTTACCTCTAAAGGATTCAAACCTACAGTGCTACTTACCATTCAGTATATTATTGATACTATTAGCTGATATTGTAAGGTATGATAGTATATGATTACAGTTAGCTGTTTTCCCGCTTCCTGATCGACCCATCATGATTATACTTTGATCCCGTCTGGTGGCTAACATTTCCCGGTGAGCTATCTGGGCCATGGAGAAAACATGGGGTGGCATATCTTCCTGTTTACAACCCTTCAACATTTGAATTAACTGAAATTAAAAATATTGAAAATAGAAGATTTGTAATAATTTTAAATCATCTAAAATACAAAACAGTGCTTTTTCTAGTGAATTTTAACATCCAGGCATTATCACTGTAAAATATGTTCCAAAAGACAGTCACAAATTTATACATTTCAAACACTTTCTAAAATCCTCCATAATATGTGATATATAGGGCACTTCTGCCCAACCCCCTCCCCTAAAATCTGTGATTAATATAGCAGTACTTCTGCCCCTTCCCTCCCCCAAAATCTGTGATTAATATAGCAGTACTTCTGCCCCCTCCCTCCCCTAAAATCTGTGATCAAGCTCCTACCTTTTCAGAATATAAAGGTAAACCTTTCATAGGGTTGATAACAATTAACGAAGGTCCAGCGTAGGTGTGAATTAAACTACCAGCAAACCTCTGACGTAACGTATGTAAGGAACTAGATTCATTTAAATATCGTAACGAGGCTAGGTCTTCTGCTCTATCAAACTGTGGAGGGTTCGCCTGAAATAGACCCACAAAGTAAAATTATATGCCATTGGTCATTTTTTTAACAATATGCATTAGGCTATCATGTGTCAAATTGTTGGTTGTTTCAGAGATTTTGAAAACAACAGTGAACAGTGAAAAAACAAAACAACCCTATTTTATGTATATTATATAATATTAAACTGTGCTTTCCTAAAACTGTAATACTAAACATTTGATTTTCATTCTAAAAAGTTCTATAAAAAACTTGAATTAAGCTTTATCAGCTGGGCAAGATGTCATTAAGACAACTATACAGATAGCTGAAATTAAGATCAGCTAGGAAACTATATACTTTTAGAAACATCCATTGACAAACCCAACCTATTCTCTTAAAATTATATCACTTGTATATTTCCTGTTTTTAGTTAACTCTACCTTTTCAATATCATCTTCTTCCACTTCCAAAATATCTCCAGAACTTTCCAAACGGATTCGGACCTTCCCCTCCGGTAAGGGACTGGCAGGGTCGGCTTTAAGTAGAAATGCCCCAGCAAACCCCCCTTTATGTACCAACCAAACTTTCTCAGCGTTGAGCCAGTCTTTTTCATTCTTAAATTCATCTTCTGATTTGGCCTGAAAATATAAATTACAGAAATTTAGATTTGGAAATAAATGTCAATAATCTTTGGTTAGTTTAAACAAAATACAACAACATTTACACCTTGTATCATAAGAAAAATAGTTCAGCTTTTTTTTTTACAAAATATGGTTTTAGATTGGGTATGATTTGAAAAAAAAGGGTTTTAAAACAGTGTAAAATGTTATAGAATGCCTTGTTTTGGTGCAATTGCAAAAACCAAAGACATCTGACTGAAAATAAGAATGGTGCAACTACTAGGAGTGTCCTTCATATACAGTTAATAAAAAAAACTCTTTACAATCCCTTAGTCTTCAGATAGGTCTCACTGTCAGTAAGCACTTGGTGTTGTTACATGATTTTAGTATTCTCCTATAGAAGCACTGGCCAAGTTCTAATAGTGTATTGTTTGAAATATGTTTAATAGGGTGTATAAACTGTCACTTCCTGCCGTGACAGTGACAGTATGACACCTGACATAAACAGTCTGATGATATATATCTAGTTTGTAATAATAATGTTGTTGTGTTTTTGTATTAGATAGTTGTACATTGTTTTATCATCAAGCCTTATATTTCTTTTAAAAATATTACCATCAATTCTTGTCATAAATTTGTTTTTTTCTTAGTTTTAAATACCACAAATTTCTATCACCAGTTTTTTTGGGACTTGTGTTGTATTAGATATTAAGAATTTGTCTTTAATATGTTAATTTCTTTAGCACACAACATCATAAAATCATTAAATGTCTGTCCTTGTGGAATTTTATAGATAAATTATGTGCACATTTTACACATGCATACAAGGGGCATATCTAGAAAAAGCCTGAGGAGGGGGCCAAGGAGGGGGGGAGGGGGCGAGGAAGGGGCTGAGAAAGGAGCCAAGAATGAGACGTAAATTTTCCTGCAGAGCCTATAGCATCTCATCTATTGCCTAATCCTAAGACAAGATATTCTCAATGACATATAAGTGTGTACTGTCAAGTTCATGTATTAATTGTAATATATCTGAGTTGGATGTTGATGGATCTTGTTATTTTGATCCTCAATCTAAACTTTTTCTCCATTTTCTATGATGGGGAGTGTGCACCAGCGTTATAAAAACAGCAATTATTACTTTTTTTTTTTTGAAGTTTTAAATTATAAAGTTTTGTTTTTCTCAATAGCCAATAATATATCAATCAATTTTAGTATTATTAAGTAATTATTGCTTAAAGATCTTCATTTAGTTTCAACTCTAAAACATTATTCTGATTTTAAAACTCTTGTCACCATCAGGTTTCATTTTAATTCTGTTTTATGATTGCTATATATAGATATTTCACAATATACCAAATAATCAGTCTGTACTTTCACTTTAAACCACTATAGTGTCATGTTTACCTACACTCTATATATAATTATTAGGGTTTATCATCCCCTTTCATCTTTTATTGACTGGTCAACATTAACTAGGTCATCTTAACATCTAAATAGGTCAAACTCATCTTATCTTCATCTTGGCAGTCTTTGAAGCAATTTAAACTAAACATGACTAAACCTACAGCCTCCAGGATGTGTCACACTTTGTTATTTAATGCCACTTTTTGAATAGGAGTTTTATAATGTTATTCAGCAAGGCTTAAGGTGACATAAATAAGCAACATTATAAAACCAGATGTACAAGACATATAATTCAGTTTACAAGTTTGAAGTATGGAAAGTCAGCAATATATATCTTATTTCCAATCATACAAGTGAAGAACTATAACATACAATAAAGAGAGATATTAGAATGTTTTTATTACTAATGACAAGTCTAGAAGAGAAACCTATCCTATACCAATTATAGCTATTAAATACTTAACAAAATACTTAATGAAATATAAACAAGTCTGACCAGATATTAAAATAATCTAAATTCTAACTACTACTAAACAATCCCTCAACAATCAGTCAACAATAGTTAAGGAAAGGGTTTCTTGAAATAGTTTCCCTCCCTTCTGGGTCAGACCTTGAAGGCTCATCAGTGAGTGACTTGCAACCCCAACCCTCACTGATCTTCACAGACTCAAACCTAACATACTTCCAATGTCAAAACGTGGCTTCAAATTGAAATTTAGAAGTATTTCTGGTAGCCCTTTTAAATAGTAGGGTTTACTCCACTCTTACTGAGCTTAAGGATCAGGGTGGGGCTCAGCAGCAACTTGACAATCAAATGGTGTGATTAAATCCCTTTCTCCGAGCTGGTAAAATTCTGACATAGTTTTACAAGAGTCAGCAAAATATGAACCCAGTTAGACAATCAGATGAGCTGCTGAATCATTTTTCAATCTTCTTTGGAAAGAGCAAGGAAAAGCCATCCACAAAAGCTCATTTCAGAAAAAAACTTCAACTATTATTTGAAATAATACAGAGCTGAGCTTTAACAGTGAAAATATAAATCAGTGAGTCCTATAATCTCTTTAAATTTTAAAGTTTGAAATGTGGACAAGTGAGTTGTTAGGCTGGAGGGTAAATCAACATCAATTATCATTGTTTGTATTCTACATTGTTCTACATTGTAATACAGTTATAGTGTCACAATATATTATATCATCTTATATTACATTATATAACTTATAATACATCTCTCATTAGATTATAGATTTAGAGTTATTGCCCTTGACTAGGTTAAACTGTTGACACTCGTGTCAGACATGACAGAGGCTATTAGAGCTTTGTTACAAATTTTCACATTTGCTCTTGGCCAGGTAAAACTGTTGACACTTGTGTCAGACATGACAAAGGCTATTGAAGTTTTGGACACTTTTGACCACTTTCCTATCATTTTGATATTTGATAAGTGTAATAGTAGTATATTAGTATTATTAATATGATAGGTTAGAGTTATGGCTCTTGATCAGGTTAAAGATGTTGACATTTGTGTCAAGCATTAAAAAAGATACAGTCTTTGGCAACTTATTTGTTAATTTTTTGTAACATATTCAAATATTGGACAGGCTTTACCAAAGTAGCATTGACAATGAGTTGTTGCTCTTGACAAAGTATAAAATGTCAATTCTTGTGTCAAACATAACAGAGGTACAGACAACTACCAACACCAACATCCTCAATACCAGGGAATGTCAAATGCAGCATTATATTACCACCAAATTTTGAATAAATAGCTAGACATTACTGGCAAATACAGCTATTAAAAACAACAACCCTGACATACAAAATGATTTTTAAACACTGCATTATGTATGTCTAGATCTAACAGTGTAAAAATGTGACATTTAAAATAAAAGTGTATCTGTAGTGAGAAAATGTTAAATAAGAGTTAAGATATGACAGGTAGTTGATAAACATTACAATAACTTGACAACTAATACTTTCTCTTATATTCCCAGAGTATATCAATACACCTCAAATCTTAATATTGACTGATGTCCAAATTCATCGTCCCTTCAACATGTCTGAAGTTATTTCATATTTCTCTCCTTTTTCACCTTATTAGGTAGAGGTTTTATCACCCAATAACTTGACAACTAATACTGTCTCTTATATTCACTGAGTAAATCAATACACCTCAAATCTTAATATTAATATGATAATCAGATAAGCTGAATTGAAAGAATCCAGTTGATTGTAATCTCCTTCCCCCTTCCCCTTACAATCCAGGCCACATATTCTTGAAATGACCATAGTGCTAGGACAGTGGTTCCCAATCTATTTCAGCCTTCACACCCCTGGAGCAATCACCCGGATCTTTCACACCCCCAAAAATTATTTCATCCACATTTCCAGCATGTGATGATGTGAGTTGCTCTCTCACTTCAAAATAAATTCTTCTCCTACACCAGTTGGCCACACCCCTGACACCCTAGTCCTACACCCCCAGGGGGTGAAAACACTCTAGGTTGGGAACCAGGGTGCTACTGCTAGGATGTTCCAGTGTCTGAACTTCTAACACTGTCTTTAAGATATCCTAGCGCTTTAATTGTTACGAAACTGTGTGGCCAGGATAGGCTTGCTTAAAAAATTTCTAGTTACACCCAGAGGTAAAAGTCAAATCGTAAAGTATGTTAATTTAGACTGAGATGTAAGTTTACCTAAAAAATTGACATTTAAACCAGTAAAGATAGCGAGAAGTTGCCGTTACAAACTTACTGATAAGTTGAAGGTTAAGAATCAAAATAAATAGACTGACATTAATTAGTTTGATTTAATTAGAATTTAGTACACAGTCATCTATTTCTTCACAAACTCAACATCTTAAAGGCCATGATTCGCTACTATCGGGAGGTGATTTGAGTCTTGAATATATGTAAATAGTCTTCAGAAGTACTAGAAATGCAAGAAAACTGCCTAATCACATCAAATGTACCTCAAACCTATTTCTACAAGTCATGTATATAGCGGAGTCTCAAGAAAAGATGAGTCGTCATTTTTTACTTTCAAACTTTTACAGACACATATGGATTTGAAGGCTCAAATTCCAGTTTCAAAGACTAAGTATGATTGGTCAAACAGATCCTGAACCTGTTTAAAATAAATGTATGACCAAAATTTATGGGCTAGATTGAAATAGGTAACAAATATAGAACTAGCCTTGTTTTACAATCCACAATGAAGTATTTCTGTAAGCTAACAATGACAGCAGACAATTCCACTACTATCAGGATATTAAAAGACCAAATTCTAAAATGTTTGACCCAAACAAAAAATGGAAACTTACCAAATTTCGTCTGCGAATTGTATCATCACCATCTTGATCTGATTGTTTTAAATTATCCAGTAGATTGTCTAAATCCAGCTCCGTTTCTGGCTGATCAAATTGATAGTGCTCTAGACTAAAACCAGTAGAGTGAGCATCACAGAGCCGAGCAGCTTTCATTTCTGCCCGTCGTAAACACGCGGCACATCCTATACGCAGTTGATCTGGGTGACGTTCAACACTTTCTTTCCGTTTGCGTCCTTTACTATGACGACGCACCTTAACTTCACTGTTCGGAGAATTAATATCACGTTTTTCAACACTTTGTTTCCTAGCAACGGGTTTTTGAGGTAACCATGGTTTATCATAAGATTCACGTTTATGTAAATCCGGAGTGTAAGGTTGTGATGGAATCGGAGACTCCATACTTTTTCGTTTATCTTCCAAACTTGTTTTCCTCGACACTGCTTGTTTAGGTGGCGACACTGTAACAATCCACGGTTTGTCGTAGCTCTCACGTTTATGAAAAGTTGGAACGTAAGGATCTGGCGTTATCCTGCCAGAACTTGATCTCTTCAATCGTCCACCCTTTTCTGAATTAATGCTATCTGAACTTCCACGGAATGTTGTACGAGGGGTTCCATTTCCCATCAAGCTATCACAGCTCCCCCTGTAGGATTGTTTCTGTGATTCGTTACTAAATTGATGATTAAAATCACGTTGTGTTGGCGTCTGACGACCCATGAGGCTTTCATGGCTGGCTTTACGGCTTAACATTTGTTTCTGGTTACTTGACGAATGATCAATATTTTGAAACTCACGTTGAGTTGGTGTTTGTCGTCCTGACAAGTTTTCTTGACTTGTCCGTCTGCTTAATCTATCCCAGAATGCATCAGTAGGAGTTTGACGGCCACCACTTAAATTCTCATGACTAGTTTTACGAGTTAGTCTTTGTTTCATGTCGGAAGGTGAATTAAAACTATCTCGTTTACGAACTCGTTGTTTCTGAGTTTCTTTCACATCCTCATCAACATTCTGTTTAGTTTGACCTAGTTTAGTACTTGTGTCTATTTTCGGCTGATCATCGTGAGAACCTTCAGTTTTAATCTCAGAAGCTGGAGGCTGTTTAGATTCATGTTTTATTGTCACATTATGTTGAGGTAGAATTGTGTTTTGAATAGATAAATTATCTTCAGATCGAGCGATACCGTTTCGAATATTTTCTGCATGTTTATAAAATTCTTGAAGTGCGTCAGAGTTTCTGTCCTTGCGACGTCGTCTTCTCGTTAAGGATGGCGACACTGCATCATTATTTGACGTATCCATGACAGGTGACACAGATTTTAAATTCTCCATTTCTGGTGAAATTGTTTTTACTTCATTATTACTATCCACAAACTGTCGTCTGCTAAATCCACTCACAAAATCTCTACTTTCACTTTCTAATCTGTTGCCATGAGAAACTTTATCACTGTTGCCGCTCCTGGATTCAAAATTTCTGATCTTTTCTCTAGCGCTGGTGGAACTTTTATCACTTTCTCTACCATTTGTGAAATTCATGTCAGAGTTTAAGTTGGAGCCATTTTGAAAATGTCCACCTGGTCCTGACCTCATGTCATTATGATCCAATTGACCCCTAGGGGTCACTCTAACTCCTTTTCTACGCTGGAGTGGTTTGATCTTATCAGTCGACTCCATTAAATTCTCATTCACAGTTTCACGTAGTTAATAATCAGACCAATGATGACAAGCAATGACAGTGAATTGACGTCTGTGACCTGGATGTAAACCTTGGTTACACTTCAGGTATTCATTATCCGTCTGTCAACAACCAACAAATTCTCTTCTTTCATCTTTCTCTCAATTTCTTACTCTAAATCCACTCTTCAATTTCACTGAATAAATTTTCTGACCACTTTAAAAACTTTGTCCAAATTTTCTACAACCACAAAAAAAAACTTTTCCTAAAAAATTTAAAAAATTTCACAGGTGTCACATTAATGAGAATCAAAATACTTTTTTTTTTTCATGCCTTACAAAAAGATTAAACAATCCCATGAATAAAACCACTTCAAAACTGTTTCGTTATTTCAAAGATTTTTACATAAACAAATTAACTTGACAAATTTATTGTCAGAAAAGTCAATCACATAAAAAATTGAACATAATTTGGATATCATACACAAATTTTACAAAATTATCCATCCTTAAAAATTAATCAAAAAAAATTTCAAAATAGGAAAATGACTTAGCACATCGTCTTATTTTTTTATTTTTTACCACAATTATTGTCAACCACAAAATGCCTATCATAATAAATCAACAAATTTACAAAAATCTTGACAAAACCTTCAGGTTCATAAATCAAACACACCTAGAACTGATATAAATGAGATACCATCGAATCAAACTCAAGGTGAGAAAAATTCTAATGCCTGTGCTTACCAAAGTCGGCCCAGTGTCTGCATTCACCACCTAATATACCTTAACAAGTCACTAAATTGCATATTTGACACATGATTGCTATTTTGAAGTAAAGGAAGTACCAGTGAAATAGCTATAATATCTCAACTGGTTCACTGCTCAATATTCACTTTGTTTTTCAATCACTCAGTAATCTAAATTTAAAATATCTCACATAGAATCATCTTCCAATGATGTGAAATTCCAACTATTCCTTCACAGGTGTGTAGAAACCAGCGAAATACGTATCTAAAGAAGATAGCTGTTGTATCATATAACTCTACTGTGGGGCTAAAAAACACCCCAGTTAATCCAGTAATTTGTCTAACTAAATCACCGGCAGAGATAACAACACTGGTTGATGGTTTGTTAGTACAAAATAAAATACAAGTAGAAATATTTAGTCTTTATAGCATGTCCGAGAGTGAGTCAGAATTTTACTCAAAATGACAAATATAAAGTCAAACTTTTTGAATTAAGACTCAGGTTTAAGTGATACTAAGTCACACAAATAAAATATTAGTAGAAATAGTAAAGATATTTGTTTAGTCCAAGGGTGATTCAAATCATGAGCGTTTACTCAAAGTGCCAAAGCAAGTCAAAATTCTGAACAAAATTAAAATTCAAGTCAACTCAACTCACTAAAATTCATTATCCATTGAAAAACATCAAGTCCAATAAGCTCACTTGCTTAATTAATCAGACCTCAAAGCTGAATACATTTCACAATCCATTAACAGACAACTGTTCGTTCACTCCTTTTTACATTCTCAAAACTCCTCAAGCTGAGAAAAATGTCACACCTCAAAAATTTCACAATTGCCTCAAACAGTTATAAGTGTCACAATTTTTTTTTGTAAATAAAAATTTGTAAATTTGATATGTGTGACAAAACACACAGGTAGCGTAAACTCTCGACAGTGAATATCTATAATAAAATATTACTTAATATTAGACACATAATACAGATATCTTACTGAAGATCAAAAGTAAACAACAATGCAATTTACCAAACTTATCAAGGCAAACTGGAGGGTGTAAAATAAAAATCGCACACTTCCTCAAGAATACAAGTTTGTGAGATAAGAAATCGTCAACCATACCTTGTCAATCTCGGTGTCCCACTGACAGTATTGTCTTATTCTACCCTTGGGGCTATACTCTGTGATTTATTACCTTAGTAAACACACCAACCAGTACGCTAGATCTTGATAACATTAAACAATTCAAAATCACTGATTTTCATTTTGATTTTTATCTTAGATAGGTTTTTTCACATAATTTTTATCCTAAATAATTTCTGGAGATTAATTGGTAAATTATGGTCCCTTCAGTGATTTGCAGTTTATACATCACATGGAGAAATCAACATTTACCTGTCCAAATCACAATCAACAAGTGACAACATATCAAAGAGTAGTTATTAACCTTTCAAAATTACAATACATAGGTCAAACAAAATCAACCAGGTAGACATGAAACAAGTCCAATAGCCATCCTGGATCATTCAAGATGACAAAATCAATGAGATAGACCTGAAACAAGTCCAATAGCCATCCTGGATCATTCAAGATGCAAATTCATATTTTCAGAGTTGTTTTGATTGGTCAATTATAATCCGGTAATAATTCTAACCAATGAAATCTATTGAAATGTTTCAGATATGATTATCATAAGCCAGTGTTATTGAAATGCCAGATTAGTCTGAATTAATCCAAAGATTTTCCTAAATCAAGCTGATTTCCGAATCAACCTATTCTTAACCAATCCAGATTATTTCTACGTAAAGATTAAATAGATTGTAATTCAGTAGAACCTTTCCTAAATGATAGTTGATAGTTTGTTAATCCTTTATCTATTAAATCTTAAACTAAATCCTAGCTGATCTATTAAATCTAAAACATATATCCTTAATCCATATGAATTCACAAATAAGGCTTATATTTTATAATTTCCCAAACTTCTTTCTGTCTCCTGTTCAAACAAAAATTTCCTCAATAAATGCCCTCAATATATAAATGAATGCAAAGTTAACATCTAATAGCAAATTACCAAACTTCATCCATCTTTTTCTACCGTGTCACTGCTGTATTAAAATCTCCTAACGATAAAAACAAATAGTCCCCAGTACTTAACCACAGCCACAAAAATACATTGCAAAATCAATGCACAAATTAACAATAACAGATAATAAACCTACAAAATTGTCTGTCTTCATCAACTAAAACTGTCTAAATGTTAAAAATAAAACTGTCTCCAGTCTCCAGTACATGATTACTATAACAATAGGAGTAAACTGACACCTCCATACCAATTGTTAGCTTAACAGATTTAAACTCAAAATAACCCACCAAATATCTCAAATAACCCCCAAAATAACTGAAATATACTTCGGCTTACTAGATTCCTCAAAACTAGGGGAAAGTTGGGTTAGAGATCAACTTCATTGAAAATAACACACAACAGCAAACCTAATTTTAATTTAAAAATATTGCAATTTCAATGCAAGGATCAGATTTGAAGAAAGTCAAAAAACCATCCTGGATCATTGAAGATGACTTTCAAAAATTTTTTATAAACAGATTTTAATGTTCTATAAAATGAAATATTTCCTTGCAGCTGAATGAAGATATGAGCTGTCATACTGTAGACATTTTTAACTTGTCACAAACTACATTCTTTCTGTTGTTTTATTCTTATATTCTATTTTATAACTTTACGATTATTCTCCGACATGTTTTTATTCTTTTAAAACCTAGAAAACTTCCTATTATATCATATTTTCTTTGAATATTATACAAACAATATGACATTTTTCACATAATCTTTAGTTTTTCTTCAGAAACGCCTTAACTTTTTTTCGTCTAAAATTTTTATATCTTATAAATTACAATGTATGTGTGTGACAAATTTTCAGAAATTTCCTCAACATCAACACATAAATATGGTTAACAAAAGTTTTAAAAATTCACAAAAAATTTGCTTATTGTACTCACAAATAATACAATAATTCTTCCACATATGTAAATTTTCAAAATATTTCTTGTTAATCTAAACGTGAACGTGCACATGCATGATAAAGATTATTCTGAGCCTAATTATACATTCCGTGGGTATAAAAAATACATAGTTAAAGGAACACTACCTCTTAGAATGAAAATAAAATTCTCAAACTAACCTGACCAGTGTCATACCTGGTATACAACAGAATCCCTGTATATTAAAAAATATCCATTAAAATAAAATCTTTGAAAAGGCTGAAAAATATCAATAAGTTTTTCAATAATTACCTGTAGTTTTAAGGATAATTACTTAGTTTTATAGATAATTACTTAGTTTTATAGATAATTACTTAGTTTTATAGATAATTACTTAGTTTTATAGATAATTACTTAGTTTTAAGGATAATTACTTAGTTTTATAGATAATTACTTAGTTTTAAGGATAATTACTTAGTTTTATAGATAATTACTTAGTTTTATAGATAATTACTTAGTTTTATAGATAATTACTTAGTTTTAAGGATAATTACTTAGTTTTATAGATAATTACTTAGTTTTAAGGATAATTACTTAGTTTTAAGGATAATTACTTAGTTTTATAGATAATTACTTAGTTTTATAGATAATTACTTAGTTTTATGGATAATTACTTAGTTTTATAGATAATTACTTTGTTTTAAGGATAATTACTATAATTACTTAAATAAGACAATTATATGGATATATACTTCTAGAATATTTATTATTTCAAAATTTCAATGTGGTTCTCACATCATCATCAGGAATATAATAATACTTCTAGAATATTATTACTTCAACATTTCAATGTGGTTCTCACACCGTCATCAGGAATATAATAATACTTCTAGAATATTTATTACTTCAACATTTCAATATGGTTCTCACACCATCATCAGGAATATAATAATACTTCTAGAATATTTATTACTTCAACATTTCAATGTGGTTCTCACACCATCATCAGGAATATAATAATACTTCTAGAATATTATTACTTCAACATTTCAATATGGTTCTCACATCATCATCAGGAATATAATAATACTTCTAGAATATTATTACTTCAACATTTCAATATGGTTCTCACACATCATCTGGAATATAATAATACTTCTAGAATATTTATTACTTCAACATTTCAATATGGTTCTCACACCATCATCAGGAATATAATAATACTTCTAGAATATTTATTACTTCAACATTTCAATA